GCTTATTATTTTTGGGTGATATTTCACCAGACAATGCCCAGTGAGCAGGCCAACGACTGTTCTAATGTCACTTCTGTTCATGTCAAGAAGCCATTCAGATCTCTCTGCTGAGCTGGATATAGACCTGTCTAAAACCCGGAATGGATCTTCAATGAGCTAGTATTCGGTCCTTTTCCAATCTGTCCATTTCTTCGGAGATATGGCTTTTCATTAGCCCACAAACAGGCTCTGGGCCTTGAAATCAATTAAAGCGCCTCGGTTTGCGAGACGGTCTGCCTCCTCGTTGCCCTCTATTCTATGCTCTGGTATCGTGGCACCCACATCAGAATTACTTTGTTCCTCCCAACCAGTTGCTTAAGGTTATTTTTGCCTTCCCAAACTAGCTGCGATTGTACTTGATGGCTTCTAGAGCCTTTAGAGCCGCTTGACTGTCAGACAGTATATAAATGTGCTCTCTCAAAAGGTCTCTCTTAAAAGGTCTCTCTTAAGGCACTCTTGTGGCCAGTACCTCAGCTTGAAATATTGTGGAAGTTTTACCCATTGCTAAGGAGAGTTTATTTAAAGTTTGGACTAGTTATTCTCAGATCGACTCCTACCGTTAGCTTCGAACCATTTGTGTATCACAATGATGCGTTGTCCACTTGCGGTAGCTTTGCGTTCTTCCATGATTGGCGTTCTTTCACGACCACTTCATATGGTATGTCAAAGTCCAGTGATGTTATTGATCTGTCGGTTTACTTTGGTACTCGAGCTTTATAGACTGAAGGATGCGTAAGTGGCCATTCACATCACCAGGTTTTGATATTTTTGTCTGGTTGCTTCTTTTTTCACATAGGTATAGGTGAAGAGCAGTCATGTTTTGGCCTTTGTCCTCTACGTAGACTCTTCTGTACAGTAATTTGCTCAGTCTTTGGCCTCCATACCCAGGAGGCGTAGGTGACAATGGGTCTGACAACCGTTTGGTAAATCCAGTGAACCATTTTTTTGGTCTTATCCCCGATTCTTTTCCCACGAGGCATGTTCAGGTGCAACCGCTGTAGCTTATGATATTGTTTCCAGCTTCCTTTTTTTGGTAAACGAAACTAAGGTCGTTTGGCTGGGATTCATTGAAAGTCCTTCTTCCTCGCTCCAGTTTTTGATTATATTCAAGGCTTGCATTCGGCCTGTTATTATGCCTTCATGCTTGCCTCCGATTATTACCGCCAGATCTCTGCGTAGCCTAGGATAGTTATTCCGACGTTGCTTAGTCTGGTAAGGATGCTATCTGCCATTAGTGTCCACAGGAGATGCGAAAGGACACAACCTTGTGAGCAGCATTTAACCGTAATGACAGTAACTGTTCCGCCGTTCAAGTCCACCGATGAGCATGACTTCTGTCCATCTTATAATGGGAGGAGCTTCAACCCCCCTATCCTCAACATTTTTTGAGAGATTGGTGTGAGGTGTTATCAATGGCACCCTCTATATCTATAAAAGCTGCAAGAGCAATTTTTTTTTTTGCCTTCTCTGTATCTGCTACAAAACAATGGAGTGCACTTGTTGTGGATTTGCCTGCTTGGTATAGGCAAATTGCCTTGGATGAAGCGGTCTGCTATTTAGAGTTTCGATTTGGATATAGTGGTGCTTCAAAAGCTTAATAAATTACCTGATAATTTATTCCATTTATTTTTTAGTTGAATAAATCCAATTAGCATCGCATACCCATTCAACTAAATAAATACGAATACTGCTCTTGTGTTGAATTTAATGTAATTGAATGTTTTTTGATGAGTAAATAGATTAGTTTTAGTATTGAAAAGAATTATGGAGCTTGATTTATATCAAGTCAATCTGGTATTATTACAATAATTGAAATCTCTTTTAATTACAGAAAAAACATTTTTCATAAAATTGTGATAGGGAAAGAAAAATAGTAGGTAATTGAAGAAAATTTTGTAGAAATTAAAGTCAAGGGAAAATTGAAAAAGTTGGAGCTAGTACGAAGCTCTACCAACTTAGCTAACCAACCCACGTAGATTCTCGACGAATATACGGCTACTTCGTTCTCCTCCCGCATACCCATACATTTCAATCCTCCAATGGCTCACGTCCAAATTCGTGAGTTTATGGATTGAAAGAGCTTTGCTAATTTTTTGGTTTCAATAGGTAGGTAGGTACCAACTTTCTAGATTATTGACTGACACAGTCGACACAGTTGACTTTCTAAAATTTTCACTGTTTATGAGATGACCACGAATGAGTTTTTAAAAAGTATTCTTCTTTTCCTATTGTTAATTATTTTTCTTGTGGCCTATATTCTCTCGACTCGTGCACTGTAATAAATGTATTACTGCACGCAACTGCCAAAGATTAATTAAGAAACATGACCGCTACCAGTGATAATTGAGCACCCCCAAAACAACTTATCAATTATAATTTCTAAGGAATCGTATCAATCAATCAACAAGACGAGCTACCATCCAATTATCTGGAAAGCGTGACTCCCGCGACACTTCAAGGCATAAATTCATGACGCAAAATGTATTTTTTTCCATTTATTAAACAAACAAGGCCTATAAATTTCTCTTCTAAACCATCCCCATGCATATTCGCCACCAGGTCAAATATTAAATTTGTTGCCTTGACCCGGTAAATCGTCAGATAGATTACGGCAATGAATTTTTTAATGGAGCGTATCCCGTTCTACATGGACAAAACCTGATGCTGACAGCAGCCTTTGAATAAAATTTATTTATAGCTCCTCACTAGGTTATAATATATTTTTCTGGGCATCCATAATTTGATTTTAAATATTTTACGTGACAATATCGGGACCAAAATAAAAAATATTCAGAAATAGTTAGAGTGAGTATATAAATTATATTTTTTTTAGTAAGGAAGGAAACAATTTGTATGCCATGCAAAATTTACAAAGGATAACGCATACCTAAAATGGGATTTTTGGGCTCTATAGAATTTGCCCATTTTTTTATATGTTGTAGAGGATTTAATTTTTAACAACTTTTAAATAGGACAAAATCGTGCAGGTATATGAGCGTTGGAAGATGCACTTTTCTGCGACTTTTTGTGTGGAGAGTATACGAAATACTGGTATTTATTAGTCAAAATTATCACGGGTTCACATATTTTACGTCACTAACAAATGTCAACATAGGCTAATGCCAGGACCCTTAGACAAGGAAAAAAGTGGGGACAGGTAACAGGCATTTACAAGCTTGCGCGTGAACGTGTGACCAAAAATTGATCGGCGGCCATTGTCGTGGTGCCAAACAAATAACTTGACACCCGGCATATTTTCTGTGTTTGTGCGACGAAAGCGAATGAAATATATTTGTTTTAGTATCTGATCAAGATGGTGATTTCTGATGCTATCAATTGACCTTTTGTTTCGACGCCATATTGCGGTGCGCGAACATAGTTGCCAAAACAAGAAAACCAAAAATTACTAGCGGGCTGTCAACTAGATATTTTATTATTTCGATTCTGCCCAATACAAGCTAAAATTGATGGCTTTTCTTTCTAAAAACTTTCGTAATAGGCGGCAAATTTAATTATATAATATGTAATTTATTCACTAACTTTGGATTTTAAAGTTGACAGAACGCTAGTATTTTTTTATTCTACTGTTGGCAACTATGTTCGCGCACCGCAATATGGCGTCCAAACAAAAGGTCAATTGCAAAAGTCGTAGCGACAAAAAAGTGCCAGGAATTACGTTTCACAGGTGAATAATTAATTCTTGTTTTAACCTGGTTTTCTAACCTACAAAAATATTTTCATTATGAAGCCTGGTGTCATTTTATCACAATTTAGTTTAATTGGTTACTCGTCCCCTCTTTTTTCCAAAGAAAAGCAAACATTTTAGAAGAACATAAGGTATAAATGACTGGATGCATAGAGGAAAATCCTGAAATTACGCTGAAATAAAAGAAAAATTTGAACATAATCTCATTTTGATGAAATGTTTTCATTCGCAGTTCGCAAATCACTAATCAGCCACGTTTAGCGCATCCGGCCATCAGGTATAAAGCGCTAAATATGAGCTGGCACAAATATTTTTTTCAAATTCGAAGAAATAGTTCATGATTTTCTAAAGGACTTGAATGTAATCGGAAGGAAAAACAAACTCAAAGTCAAAGTCTCAAATATAATTTCCTAAATTGAATAAGCCTATTCCCAATTTGAATTTGTTTCTTCCCAAATTAAAATTGATAAGTCCCAATTTGAAGTTGATTAGTACCAAATTGAATATGATTATTCCCAATTTGATATTGTTAATTCTCAATATGATTTTGTTAGTTCCCAACTTAAAGTTGTTTAGTCCCAATTTGAAGTTGAAAAGGTATAGTATTTCGTATACTCTCCACACAAAAAGACGCAAAAAAGTTCATCTTTCCACGCTCATATCTGAAAGTCCGTAATACCTACAAGATTTTGTCCCATTCAAAGGTTGTTAAGAATTAAATCCTCTACAACATATCAAAAAATAGGCAAAATCCATAGAGCCCAAAAATCCCATTTATTGAAAACTTAGCGTAGTAGAGCGCTTTCGGCTTTCGCCATCATCAGTACTACTTGTCAGGTTCTGACACAGAGATAAAAATTGTAAAAGGACGACGACGAGGATAAAAAAAAAACATCACGACACGACGAGAATTACAGATCTGCACACGATCAAAGGTCACAAACAATATGAAACTTTTTTAAAAATCCAAAACGTTTATTTGCTCTGTAGACATGTCGATGAATCAAATTATTGGTACCTATCAAAAAAGCCGCATCGTTTCGTTGACATCGGAGCAGAAGATGATAAGAAATTTGTACAATAAGAATTCTTGAAAGACCCTTTGGCAAATACAGTATACAGGATCTCTTAAATAAAATGATAATGATTTCTTGTTTGCTCTCATCCCACTTGATTTCAAAATCAGAAAAAAAAAACATAATGTATAACGCTTAATTTAGGTAAATTTCTTCAAACTAGATACCTAGGAACTAACCTGTATTTCCTGGCACGGTCACATGTTTAACAAAAGCTACGTCTCCGCCAGCTTGAACCAAACATCTGAAGGCTCCAGTATATCCGCTGTATGACTCAGTCTGATCGAAATTGCATTTTTTGGACTGATCGTTTTTCTCCAAATCACCGGCGCAAAGAGAGCACAGTTTTTCTGATATCGGTGCATCCAGTCCGTATCTAAAATTGGAAATCGTTATTGGAAAAAAATTAAAATTCACAACTTTCAATAGTGCTCTGGGAACATGTGAGAGATTTATAGAAAGGAATCGTTTAATTTTTTGAGACCGGTTTAAAAAACTGATTATTCAATTTAATTGGAAATCTGAATATGCTTTCATTTATGTATCAAATTAGAATTTAAAGTTTACACTACATTATAATTGAGCCTTGAGGGAGTGTTCTAGACATAATTTGGAAGATATTAAAACAGAATGAAAACGGCTAAAGCTAATCGAACGCACACGAAGGGTATACGAGATCACGTAAGATCGTGGGTAGAAATTTTTATCAGAAAATAAACGAGTTATAAACTTCTATTACATATTGTCAACTGGTCTAAAAATAAAACCACTCTGTATATCAAAAACCCAACCCAACCCAACAAAGAGTTAGGATGGATCTTTTCTGGTCCAATAGCCTCCGGATCTCCCGCCATCCAAGTTGTCAGCATGATCACTCACTATGAAGAAGATAGACAGCTAACTAAGTTCTGGGAAATTGAAGAAATAACCCAAGCGCAGCACCTAACAGAAGAAGAGCAAGCATGCGAAGAGTTTTTCGAGGAAACCACAACTCGAGACTCTGAGGGTAGATTCATTGTTAGAATCCCATTCAAAAAGTCAGCAGATGTATTAGGTCACTCCAAACCAAGAGCCACAGCAAGATTCAAGAATATCGAGAGAAAGTTACATCAAGATCCCAGTTTACAAGAACAATATTCTGCATTTATGAAAGAATACATAGAGTAGGATCATATGAGGAAAGTCACCCGACATGAAGTGAATCAAGGGAAATATTACATCCCTCATCAAGCAGTCATCAGAGAAGCCAGCACAACAACGCGACTAAGAGTCGTTTTCGACGCATCGTGCAAAAGCTCCATACCAACATCAGCCTCAATGACATCATGCACGTCGGCCCAAGACTTCAACAAGAATATTATGGAGGGAGCATCCACAGCAACCAATGTATGAATACGAACTGACCACTGTAACCTACGGTATATACAGCCTCAGCACCATATCTAGCCATCTAGACACTACAGAAGCTTGCAATCGAAAAATCAAATAAATTTCCGGCAGCAAGCCAAGCAGCATTAAGAGACTTCTACGTCGATGACATATTATCGGGAGCAGCAGACACAGAATCAGCTCTAGAACTACGAAACCCACTAATAAAAATGCTCAGCCTTGCTGGATTCAACCTGAGAAAATGGTCTAGCAACTCACCGGCATTACTCCAATCAATTCCAGAACAGTTCCGAGAACAGAAAATACAAGAACTACCTCAGGAATACTTCAAGAAATCTCTGGGCGTGCTATGGTTACCAGTAGACGATACCTTCAAATTTCAAGTCAAAGTCTCCGAGATACGCGACTTGACAAAACGACAAATTTTGTCAGAAATATCCAAGTTATTCGACCCCTTAGGATGGTTGTCTCCAATCGTAATACTAGCTAAACTCATCATTCAAGACTTATGGCTAAGAAACCTGAGCTGGGATGAGCCTGTAGATCAAGAAATATCTTCAAGATGGATACAGTTTCAGAGCACAATAAAACACGTAGAAAAAAACAAGATTTCGAGGCTTTTGCGATGCATCAGAAAAGGTCTATGGTGCAGTGATCTACAGTCGGATACAAGAAGAAGATACGCGAATTATAACGCTGCTGCAAGCAAAATCAAAAGTCGCTCCAGCAAAAAACAGAACAACCCTACTTCGCTTGAAGTTATGTGCAGCAGTCCTACTAACAAAACTAATTCAAAAAACTGAGACAGCAGTTCAAATGGGTGATACCCAGACCTTCGCTTGGACCGACTCCATCCTTGTCTGGAAAAAGGGTGACTCTACGAGATGGAAAACCTTTGTAGCAAAGAGAGTTTGCGAAATACACAGAAACGCCCCTCAAGCATCCTGGAACCACGTCAAGTCCCAAGAAAATCCAGCAGATATCATATCCAGGGGATTGGACCCAGACAAACTACAATCAGCTGATCTGTGGTGGAGAGGTCTTCATTAGCTGAGGTTTCTCCGTGAAATCCCCACAACAGACAATATTCCCGACATTCAAGAAAAAGTAAAAGCCACATGTCACAAAATTGAAGTTACGATAAGGAGCGATATATGGGAATGCTTCTCAAACTTGACAAGGATGCTCGGGATATTATTCTACTGCCGTCGATTCATCAAAAAAGGGGAAAGTCTTACTCTATCCGTTCAAGAAGTTCAAAACACTTTCGCAAGAATCATAAAAATAGTCCAACAGCAAGAGTTTACCGAAGAATACAAGTCTTTACAACAGCAGAACGCAGTTGACAAGAAAACTAAGCTACAGACCCTCAACCCATTTCTCGACAGCAAGGGCATAATCCGAGTCGGAGGAAGACTCGAACACTCACCTCTTCCCTACGACCAACGACACCCGATGATTCTCCCATACCATTCTCACATATCTACGCTGGTGGTGAGAAACGCACACAAGACCACGCTACATGGAGGCAACCAAGCGACATTGTCGTACATATGAAGCAGATTCTGGATCATCAACGGTAAGCGGGCCGTCAAAGCAGTTATAAATAAGTGCTTTGTATGCATCCGTCACAAAGCCGAGACCGCACAGCAACTCATGGGACAACTTCCGAAATCGAGAGTAACACCAGCACCACCATTTACAAACTCAGGAGTGGACTACGCCGGACCGATTCAAGTCAGAGCAACAAAAGGAAGAGGTCACAAATCGTACAAAGGGTACATCGCAGTATTCGTATGCCTAGCAACCAAAGCCATTCACCTAGAAGTAGTCAGCGACATGACAACAGACGCATTATTGGCAGCTCTTTGACGTTTCACAGCCAGAAGGGGACATTGTGCGAATATGTCCCGTGATAACGGAACTACATTTGTTCGAGCAGCACGCCTATTCGAAGATGAAATCTCAAAATTGATACAATCACAATCTGTGCAAAACACAATCGTCAACTTAGGAGCACAATGGCACTTCATTCCACCAGCAGCCCCACATTTCGAAGGGATATGAGAGGCAGGTTTAAAATCTATGAAGCACCATCTCAAGAGAGTAATTGGAGACTGCACTTTGACCTATGAAGAATTAACAATGTTGGTGAATCAAATCGAAGCATGTTTGAACTCAAGACCACTCTATCCGCTAACAGAAGACACAGATGATTTCAACATCCTGACCCTAGGACACTTTCTCATAGGAAGAGAACTTCTAGCACCACCAAACTTGGAATCGACAGAACATTTTAACCTATCTCAACGATGGAGACACGTGCAAGAGTTAAAGAAAAACATTTGGAGCGCATGGTGCACAGAATGCCTCACCAGACTGCAGCAAAGATACAAATGGAAGAATCAGACCAACAATCTACGAGTAGGAACAATGGTCCTAATCAAAGAAAAAAATATAAACCCAAACCAATGGCCTTTGGGAAGAATTATAGAAACTCACCAGGGACAAGATGGAGCAATCCGAGTGGCAACAATAAAGAAAGCAGGTGGCTCACCACAGAAAAGACCGATCCACAAGTTAATCCCATTCCCGACAGAAGACATACACCATTTACCAACCACCCAAAACCACTCAGTGGTACGGAGATCAGACCGACTACGGAACGTACCATCAACATCAGCAAAATCATATGTATTGTTTTTCCTAGCAGCCATAATTATGATGATTACAGCCGCCGCTGCGGAACCAGGGTTTAAAATCAACTATTCACAACATGGTTTTTACGTTGAACACCTTGGATCAGCAAAAATTGATAGAGAGATTTTTAGGATAGAGACAACGTATCCTAAGAACAAAACTGAAACGGAATTATCAGAGGTATCCACAGTCGTCAGCCAATTCGAAAATATGTGCAACGAATCCAAGAAGCTCACCGATGAAGTCAAATGCACATCCCTCGTACAAGACTTAGAAGAAATAGAAAATCACTCGAAATGGATGTTTGCTACCACGGCCGACATTCATCACAGAACCAAGAGAGGACTATTTGGAAAATTTTTGACTGCGGTTTTTGGAGTGAATGACGAAGTATATCAAGATATCGAGGCAATGAACAACAATCAGGAAGAACTCTTCAGAGCATCGAACTACCAAACAAAGTTCATGATCTCGGCCCTCACAAAATTCAACGAAACAGAAGCCAGAATCACGAACAAACTACAACATTTCCAGAAACGACTCCAAGAAGGAAAAGAAACTATCAACAGCATGCAGAGTTCGTACAAGCAAATAGACACTAATTCCCTTAACATTCACCTATTGAGTGCATAGCAAGTAGCTACCAATTTTATCAGCGAAACTAATGAGCACTATGATAAATTGCTGAACGTCAACTTCAACAGGGGTACGATATATGACCAAGTTTCACCAGCATATATCAACGCCGTCATTCAAAAATCCAATGGAAAGCTCTCAAACAATCTAAAGATTCTTTCGGCAGCAGTGACCACAAGATTAATCACCAACAACACACACCTTAAGGTGTGTGGATATTTTTCAATAGTGTGTGGATATTTTCCAAAGTTGAGGTTATCAACTCGAATAGCCGCCAATTATGGCCCTTCTGCCTTATAGGAATTTTGATGTGTATAGTTAGGATGTTCGTCGAGAAACTACATTCGCTTATGGGTATCCTGTAATACGTTGATAAGTCTTGGACTGATATGGTCAATTCTTGATCCTGCCCTGCTAGGATGGACTGTAAGTTTTCAAGATCGGCTCGGAGTAAGTGGGGTTCGATGATGGATGCTGGGATTTGCTTTTGGCGGCAGTTCTGAACTTCACCCTATTGAAGGCAACATCGATTCCACTCAGAATTGAGAATGAAACATATAGACTGTGAGATAGGGGCTGTTTAGTGGAGTCATTTTTTTTTGTCTGGCATTTTGAGGGCTGAATGTGGCTACTAAGCTGATGAGAATATGGGTGATTTTAATGCCTGCCTCCCGTTCGAAAATTTGCAGAAGAAAAAAATTGGTTTACATGAGGAATTCTTTTTTAATAATCTCAAATTTTTTGGCTTCTAAATAAAAGATTGACATTGATAAATAATTCACCCAGATGCTTTTCAATAGCTGAAAAAGTGGGTATGAGTGTCAACTTCCAAGAGAAAAGAAAATAACCTTCCGCGTCTACTTTTTGTCTGGTAATCGAGAGAATGGATAAAACCTTCCATTCTGTGAAAATATCGCTGAAAAATTGCCAGACGGTAATCCCAGTTCGAAGTCGAGTTTTCCGGCGAAACATTCTGTGGACATTTCGAACAGGTGGCAGGCACTAAAACCACCTATATTCTCATCGGCTAACTAGCCACATTCATCCCTCAAAATGCCAGACAAAAAAAAATGACTCCACTAAACGGGCCCTATCTCAAGGTCTAATACTGGGCGTTGGACCTCCACGATGATTATAACGCCGTCGACTACAACAGTCAAACATACTTTCAGCTCCAGGAAAGCGACCTCCAACAGTGCATGCAGCCCTACCCACACCAGCTCATCTGTTCTCCAGTTTCTGTTAGAAACATTGAATCTAATCCGTCCTGCGTCATCGACGAAATTTATGAACGACCGCAACCCAGACATTGCCACATACAACAACACAGGCTAAAAGGCATCCTCTGGAAACGACTATGTACAACGAATACATGGATGTTCATCGCAGGTTCGTCTACAACAATAGCGGTTATATGCAACGGCGAGCGGGAAGATGTAGGAATAAATACAACGGGAATAATTCAAATTTCTCAAGACTGCACTATCCAGACAAAATAGGACATTCTAACTCCCATAAGAAGCGCAATCGTTCCAGTGGTAGGCAGCTATGTAAAAGCTGTACCCATAATCTTCAATGGTACTCTCCACAAACATCCACCGTCAGATATAGCCACCGAGCCCGTGTTTAGAGAATCCGATAGTTTTGGAGACCTAGTAAGAGAAGAAGAGGACCTCGGTGATCGACTTCATAACAAAGTATGGCGCAGTATTCATCACCACTCCGCAGCCACTAGCAGCATCACCACCATAGTCATCATTATACTAGTGATTGCAGGATGGCAAACAACGGAACTTATCAACAGAAGACGTCAAAAGCAGACAAGAGACCAACACCAAGACCAAAAAGAAGACATAGAGCTAATGTCTCTGCATTCTTACATTCTGGAGAGGCGGCAGAATGTTTTTATATTTTAGAACAATTAAACAGTGATTAACCTTCGCCGGCTTCCTACTTCCGACTTCGTATATTTATATTTTATTCAATATCACGGTCAGCTTGCTATATGAGATTTTAGTTAGTAGTTGGGTATTATAAAAATATCCAAACATCGTAAGTTGCATTCCAGCATGCATTTAAGTAATTACGGTCACAGTGTTTTAAATTTTTGCGAAATAAATCAGTATTCATCTAGCTTCAAAAGGTGTTTTACTCAAATGGTTTTCTGTGCCCAAGCCTTCTGGGCCATCGCAGAGATTGAGGCTGCTCTTTGACAGAAACCGATACAATCGTCCCACTGCTCAACCAAGCCGAGTTGGGCAAGCGTAATCTGCGAGCACAGCTTGCACACTTGTTCTAGTAAGAAGCAGCAGAGTTTTTTATAAAAGCTAAAAGAAACTCTGAAAAAGGATGCTGTAACCTCTATAATTATTGCTGCGATTCCCTTATTAGCTGGCAAGATTTTAATTGATTTATCTTTCCGGATGTTTGTGGAAACTACAACTTCAACAGTATAAATATTCCTTATTGATTTCTTGGTCTTATGCTTTTCAAGTTCAGTGCTTAGTTTCTATTTCCGCATCAAGTGATGCCGTGTTCTTGGGAGTTATGGCAAAGTGTATAGGTACATTTCGATACTAGGAGCCCCATCCGCAAAGAAACCGCGGAACGTAAGGGAATTAAAAAAATTCTCAAAAATGAAGCAAAAATAAAAGGCATAAACCATTTTTCTTCATCAGCAGAAACATAGTGTTGTTAATTGTCCGAGCTTTTGATCTAACTTATATGCAAACTGATGGGTTTAACTTTATTTCACGTAAAGCCTCTTTTAGGAAAAATTGTTGGTCAGAATCTATGCCTACCTCAAAAATCTGAGTAAGGACGAATAATATTTACCATTCAGTACCTATATGTATATCTACCTGTGTCATATATGTAATTAATTAAAATGTTTTGGTTAACCTACCCACAAGCATTACGTCAAAACTTTAAGTGCACTCGAGAGCTCTCAGGAAATAAGCAAACAACAATGTCTGCACTCTATATAATAAAGTTATCGTTTTATAGCTCAAAAAGTATATGGAACTTTATATCGTTTTTACGAGATTTTTATTGTGTTGTTTCTTGCATAACTTTATAGTTTTGTCCTTAAACTGTGTCAATGATAAAAGTTTAGTTTCAACCTGAATTTCACCTATAGAGACAATAATCGTTAAGCAATTAACTTACTTTTCATTCTTTGCACCTGGCAAACAACTACCAGCACTGAAGAAGTCGGATAACGCCTTTGGATATGGACAATCTCCTTGTTTAATTAATCCTTTGGACACCAAAGTGTAGAGTGGCGCATTGTAGCCTGCAGTTCGGCCAATTCCTGTGTGACAAGATTTTTTGCCTCTTAAATCTTCGAATGATCGGATTTCCGAGTCTTTCCTCACTACGGCTACTGCGTAGTAGGAACCTCCTGTCGGGCCATATTGTTCAGCGAGAATTGGTTTTAGGTTGAAGTTCTTGGTGGCCGAATCAACCAAACCACCTAAAAAATAATGACAAATAGGTACGTTTTTTGCTACTACAAAAGGGCTATAAAAGAAGGCCTCCGAGAAATCTTTCAGGTAGGTACATTATGGAGGGGCTTCAATGCCGAAAAAACATCCCCTCATTACAGAAATGGACATTTCTTTTATCGTGAAATTATAAAGAATTTCTTGCTGGACATTTTTCGATAATCTCTATACCAAACTCTTACCATCCAATGTAATAATATCAGCACCATCATCCCTAATAGACTTCATGCAGTCATCAACGTTGGCTTCCAAAATGCAATCGAATCTTGGCCGGATATTTCTGGAAAATGCCGCTTTACTCAGGGTTTGGCATTTTTCTTTTTCATCCTCAGAAGTAACGCATATTCTGATAGTTTTATACGGCGGGCCATAATCCCTTTCAACTACATCTGAAAAAATATATTTCACCTAAACTATAGCTCAAATAGTGGTAATTTTCTGTTTGAAACTAAAATAATATGTTTCTAGTGATAAATTGCAAATATGCAACTGCATTTGCATGCAGATTATTATATGTAGGTACTCTATTTGTTTTCCTCAATACTCTGAAATCTTTTTGAAAATTCAATTTACGAAATATGCTACAGCAGGAAAAATCGTTTGGAATGAGTAAATGGGTCAATGCAAAGGAAGTTTTCCTGCAATAAAAATAAAAATGTTAACTTTTCCTTTGCTTTGATATTTACAAAATTGCGCCCACTATTTTTAGCTTTTGATTTAACTTTTATTACTTTTAAAGCTTGTTTTTACTAAGTAGGTACTTTAAGTTTTCTTTGATAAACATTTTTTATATAAGAAACCAGAACTATCCGACATAATCACAAATTTAATAAGTTGCTTAATTATGAAAGTGGAGTGCTTTTTACCTGTATAATTAGCCTTATTGAGATAATCTCTAGGTGAAATAATCTTATTTTCTTTAGGAGCCGATTTATCGTTTAGCTCCAAAACTTTTTCCAGCCATGCAGCATGATTTTTAATTCCAATAGCATTCAAATTTTCAATTTTTCTTCTCAGATCATCTACTGATTTGGCTACAGCAGCATTGGTCATATAGCCTTGCCAAGGTCTGGCAGCCCAAGTACAAGGAGTGGCTGTTACTGGTATTTTACTTCCATCTGGACAAAGATAGGCAAACTGACTAGGGTCTTCGTTCGTCGGTTTAGCTGGAGTTATACCCACTGGAAGCTGAAATTATTTATTGATATAAAATTAAATTATCAGTAAATTTATTTCCTTACTCCAAAGAACTTTTTAACGTAAATGACTTTAGTCCATGCCACTTGTCCCCCATTATGGGCCAAACATCGTAAAGCTCCCTCGTATCCAGAAAATACATCAGGGTAATCACAAAGGTCAGGCTTTTCGCACAGAGCACAGAGATTTGAATATTTTTGTTCTGAAAAATATGTTTCAAATAAATATACCATAACATATTATCACCAAATTGCATCGACAACCCAGCCAGAACTCTAGAAAACCCGTTGTTCACGGCCAAAACGCGTCTACTCTGCGATTAAAGACTTTTACCACAATCCAGAGTATGGAGTACGATTCATCTACAAATACCACTTAGAAGTCAGTATAGATATGATATTTTTGGGCTGATATAGAAATTGAGTTTATTTTGGATATGGACTTAATCAGTCAACAACCAACTCAACATCCTCAAATTTGACACTCCTCAAGAGTTTCTTCTGTCCAAACCCAAGAATCCAGTGTCCGTTACCGTAAAAAGCTACACAAACTATGAAAATACACAGCAGCGCCAAATAAATTATGTGTAGGTAGTTAGAGAATGATTCTCAGAATTGACGATATCCTTACGGCATTAGCAAACTTAATTTTTTTTATTTTTTTTTCCTTACTTAAAAAACGCGGTTACTGGCAAGTAGGCATTGACGTGAAAGACAAAAAAAAGACAGCGTTCTTCAGTGTTTTTTTAATTGAATGCCTTCTGGATTCTGTAACGGCACCGCTACTTTTGAGAGTATGTGTTGTCCAATAGAAGATTTCATTATGAATGACTTTGGCAGAAAGTCGACAAACAAAGTCACATAACTTATAAATAGCATTGTCAATGTTATTAACTTTTTTTTCAATTTTGGGCTTTAATTTAATAATTATGGCAGTTTTGGGAGAACGTGATATATTTTATCCAGAGGCGATGAAGCGATGTGTGTTTGGTGATTGTAAAAATGATAGTCGAACGAGTTCCATTAAATTAACGACCCCATTTGCCTCCACTGGAGTTTAAGGTAACACAGCATAAATCTATGCTTTCGTAAGTATTCGGTGCATTCGCTATGGCTTCTTTGGTTGCAAAACGTTTGATAAAATTAACAGAAAGTGATGTGACAGGTGCTGTGTTACCTAAAACTCCAGTAGAGGCAAATGGGGTCGTTAATTTAATGGAACTCGTTCGACTATCACTTTTACAATCACCAAACACACATCGCTTCATCGCCTCTCGATAAAACATATCACGTTCTCCCAAAACTGCCATAATTATTAAATTTAAGCCCAAAATTGAAAAAAAAATTAATAACATTGACAATGCTATTTATAGGTTATGTGACTTTGTTTGTCGACTTTTTGCCAAAGTCATTCATAATGAAATCTTCTATTGGATAATGTGTAAGTGATGGGAAATTTTTTGATAAGCACCTACGAAACGAACAAGAATTATTTACTGGTATCCATAGTAAGGCAAACCTTCGATTGCGATTTAATGACAAGAAAGATTCACTCTTCCAACATCACGTTGATTTATATTGACACGTAGTTTTAACCGAAGGGGTTCATACTGGCGAGAGAAAACTTCAGGCAATTCGTGAATCGCCTCGACCTCGGAACAAGTATGAACTCAGACTTTTCCTGGGCTTTGTGCATGCTACAGACGATTTGTAGAAGGCTTTGCTAAGGTGGCAGCGCCGTTGAATGCACCTACTGAAGAATAAGTTATTTTTGATTGGACTATCGACAGTGACGTAGCTTTTGTGAGGCTGAAAGCTGGACCATTTCCACAAGTACCTATGTGGACGAGCATTTCCATAGGAACAGATCATGCATCGTTCAAATGACTTCTAAACATGAAACAACCAGAAGGACAGGAGCAAGATGGCTTGAGAAGTTCTATAGCAATGTACAATTTTCAAATAAGATATCGTTCTTGCAAGCTGCATAACAACGCGATGCCCTATCCAGGCAAGTGCTGTCTCAGAATTGATCAGCGTGAAGGAGTTCCTGTCAGAACCTTTTGATCTGAAACTGATCCAGATTGAAGTTCCCAACCACTTAGAAGTAACCAATTACGAGATAGATAGTGAAATCAAACCATTTTGTATCTAGAGCAATCTGGTAAATCCAGATCAGTCTGGCATGACTTTTCACCCAGAAACTTAACTTTCAAGGCGCTGTGGGGACAGTTGAACTCCCTCCCAGTCAAAAATGGTTCATTGAAACGAACCTGGGGAGAGTGTAGATGGTAAAATGGTCAAAACGTAATTAGTCGTGCCTAGGACAACGGACAACGGTTGTTCGAGTTTCAGAAGAAGTTCATCATCGTACATCCTGAACTGATTTCGAATTCAGCAAGACCTTGGACAAGATTCGTGATATATTCTACTGTGTGAACCATATAACCAGGATGGCAAGACATGGTGCCGACAATCTGCAACATGCGCTGAAGTCAAGGACCCGAAACGTGATCTAAGAGAGAACTGGAGCAGTACAACGTGGGGACACCCTTCGAACGAATGGCATATATCTATTGTCTGACCATTTCCTGCGACGCTCGGTGGCTACAAATACATCTTAGTTACCATGGATTATCTCAGCAAGTGACTCGAAGTTTTCGCAATTCCTTCCAAACGAAGAAGCGACAAAAGTTGCAAAAGTCCTCTGCAACAATGTTTTTACTATATGTTTGGATCCCATTGGAACTGAATTCGAATCAAGGGCGGAACGACTATTTCAAAAACTGCTTGGCATTCACAAGACCAGAAATACGGCATCGCATCCACAATCAAATGGCATGTTTGAGAGATTCAACAAGACAATGGAGGACTATCTCACCAAATTAGTTGACTTGACATGCATCAGGAGGATTGGGACGAGATACCTCTATTTCTGATGGCATACAGGTCAGCCGTCCCTAACAAAACAAGGAATGCCACCAGTCAAGATGTTTTTTGATAGAGAGTTTCATTTACACTTTGTTCGAGTGACCAGATGTTGCCGACATGAAAGCCGAAAACTGTGCTGACGATCTGAAGAAAAGGTTGCATGACATCAAAGAAATAGTAAGAAGGAAAGATTCCGCAAGTGACCGAATGAAAACGAGATATGCTATTGAGGCGAACTCTGCAGGTTTCTAGAAGAATGATAGAGTTTTGCTTCATAACTCTTGAAAGAATAAAGGAAGATGTCCCAAGCTAACACTAGTATGGGGTATGGGAACTATGGGAATGTCTGAACACGAACAAGAAGAGGACGACGTCATGGACGTGGTGTATCGAATCCAACGGGTCTCCAAGTAAACTTTGCCCAAAGGTAACGGGACCATCTGATTTGAGAGCGGCAGTGTTACGGAATTGCATCGACAACCTGGCCAGCATTCTAGGAAGCTAATTGTTCACGTGAAGAACACGTCTGTTCTGAAAATTTTACTGTATTCTGGAAAACAAGACTTCTAGTGAAATCCGGAGTAAGATGTCATATATGAATCGCGCTCAGTAAACATTTAGGAGTCAGTTTAGTTTGCGATTTGTTGTGATCGCTTCAATAAGTTGATAAGTAAATTTATACTATAAAGTCCAATTTGTGTAATAAAAGTTATACGGTTTGTGAATTGGATTCTAGTGAACCCGAAATTCGTGACAATATACAATATAATCAAGCCGCATATCAGCAAAAATAATTTCAATGAACAAAACAATTTCTTGTATCGATTAGAATTTGAAATCGTTTGCGGTGGAAATTTAATCCGATACAGAATCTAAGGTAGGTACATTTTCGGCTGTAATAAAACGAAACTAAACCAAATGGCCCACATCTAGGGCTTCGCGAGACCACAAGACTAGTCTTGGTCTTGGTAGCAAGACCAAGACCAAGACCGAGACCAAGACCTGATAAATCTTCTCAAGACCAAGACTAAGACTTGACGTTCAAGACCAAGACCAAGACCAAGACTCTCTCTCAAGACTTTCGTCTTGGTCTTGGTCTTGAAAAAAAAAATCGACTCAATATTTATAAAAATATGCAAATTCCTATATCTTCTCTTAATGTCTTTTAATTAAATCAATTCATCAAATTTATTATTTTTTGAAATTCACGAGAAGGTATTATAGGTTTTAAAAATACATACGTACAACATAGTGTAGGTAACATTCATTTACACAGAACACATCGATATTTTCCTATCCCTACATAATACAATACCTAATTATTGGAATTCCCGAAGATAATTCTTAACTAACCAACTAACCTAAACTAACACAAACCCCACATCCCACCCAAACTAACCTAAATCTAATTATTGTGAATAGGTCAATAAAATTCAAATGAGGTATGTGAATATGTGAAGGTTTTCGAAAACCTTTCTCTGGCCTGAATGCTCAGGTAGGTAAGGTAGGTTTAACCTATGGTTCAAAAAGAAATTAATTTTTTTCCTCGGTACAGAATGGCAATTTCATGATGTGTTTGTCGACTTTCCTGTTCCGTTAATAAAAATTATAATTTAAGAATTGATGTTTGTTTGTTCCTCTGTGTTGTGGAATGCTTTATGCAGTATTTTTTTGACATGAAACGCTCTTGGTGGTAAAAATAGCCTGTGAAGAAGACCAAATGCATGGTCGAAACGTCGGCATAATTTTTTCAGAAAGGGAGGTTTATTTTTTTATTTTTGAAGTCCTAAACCCATTATCTCTGCTCTGTCGTTGGATGTTATGTGTATTTTAAAAATTTGGTATGAATTTTTTTCAAGACTTTCAAGACCAAGATCAAGATTATCAAGACCAAGACCAAGACTGAGCCAGTCTTGTCTTGGTCTTGAAACATCAAGACCAAGACCAATACCAAGACCGCGTTTATTTTTCGAGACCAAGACCAAGACTGGCCAGTCTTGGTCTTGGTCTTGGTCTTGCGAAGCCCTACCCACATCAACAACAGTGCCATAATCAAGCCAACCTAAGGGTGACAAAATAGATTTGCACTTTGCGCAATCACGGGAATACTACATTTCCGGTAGGGGAACTTTATTAGTAACACAGCCATCTAGCGAAAAAACAACTGGTTGGCTCAGAAGTCTCAAATATCAGTTTCCTGGAATTTTCAGTGCAAGGAAAAGGCCGACTGACAAACGAATGGAAATGGGACCTGGAAGGCACGATAGAAGCAAAACTTTACACAGAATTTACGCTTATGTGGGACCTTTAATGTTCTACATAAGGAATTCCGTGTTTATTGAAACTTTTAAATTCAATCAGCTCCGAATCACTGGATAAATAATCCTTTGTGCTATTTTTTCCTCTGTTTTCTTCATTGGTTGTACTCCACTACCTTATCCTTCGGTAACTTCCATAAATTCATGATTTTTTTTCTCAATCAGTTTATTTTGAGTTTGAATGAACAGACCTTTAGCTCGAATTATTTACCATTCTCAATATTTATTAAGTCCGATATGCTACATACTTGAATACTCATGTACACATCTATACTATGAATCAGGAAATTACTTACTCAATTTCAAATTAATTTTTGCATCTGGAGACCATTTTCCGACGATACAGGCTTTATTAAAAAGCGTAGAAAATGCTTTAAGTTCATTTTCTCTTGGAGATATTTCTGGTTCCGCTAAATTTCCAATAATTCCTTTTTGTTTCAATTTGGTTAAAGGAATTTTGTAGCCAACATTTCTACCAACGCCAGTGTGGCACGAATTAAGGCCCTTAAGACCTTCGATGCTGTTGATGTTTAGATCCTTATGAATAACGGCTACTGCTTCGTATCTAAATTCGGCTGAAAATTATATGAAACTTTGCATTTTGTTTTTCTTATTTTTGTAACAGTGAATTTTACCCTCTGGTTCTTCTTTAGTTCGAATTTCTTCAAATACTGCAAAATCTTCTTCGGGAATATTTTGAGCTACATACATGTCTTCTGGATCGACTGTAAGGAAATCTGCTTTTCTTTCTTTGATTATTTCAATACACTCCATCCTTAAAAAAAAAAAAAACATAATTATCTGCACATAATAACTATTACCTATCTAATTACTCATCAACAGTTTTATATAATTGGGAATAAGTAGTTAAAAATAGGCTAATTTGAATTAAAATCATATGAATCGCACCAAATATTATTAACAACAACAAATATGTTACCTCTATTTCTAGCATTCAATATGCAATAATTGAAATCTAAGCTTTGATAAATTTTGATGAAAATATGATTGAACAGGTTTCTATATTCAAGCGGTCTATAATTTTAACTTTATTGTCCTTAACACTTAACACAGAAGTGATCCTAGAAGACCATAAAGATTTTTATGAATGGGGTAATTTCCTCGTTTTTTTCTCGTTAGAGGGAGCAGCGTGAATCAGTGCTATTAGGTTTGTTCGGACTTAGTTCAGAATCAGTTCTGAATTGAATTGCGCTTGCGCATTTGTTTATATATTCGGTATGAACTTGAATGAAATTCTTCTCGCTAGATTGTATCGTCAACGACCTAGTCCGGAAATTAGCTACAAGGGTATAATGTATTCATAATTTCCACTAATTTGCTAGTTTTACATTTTTTGTTTCGTCTTTGGTTGTGGGATGCTGTGGAATTACTGGCTATCACTGGACGGTTTCTAGCCGTTTCGGTGTAAAAACGGGATTTCTTATAGATAGTGTGTAAAAATGGCGGACGAATCAGATGTTGATTCAGACGCTGACACAAAAGATGCGAAAATTACGGGTTTTAAGTGTTGCGCGAGTTAAAGCTGTCGTGTATGTGTATGCATTAACTGCTACTCTATAGGCTACTCAAGACTTGTATCACCCGGTTGGGCAAAGTTAAAAGAACAATTGATAATACAAAGATCGAATGCTGCACGCGTATCGAAGTATCGAAAAAGTATGTGGAACTGACAGGGGTGCGGTAGGCGGTGGAAAGAATGATCTACACAAAAGTGGAAATGTCGGAAATGTCAATGGAAATTGAGTAGGTATCTTGAGAAGATGCTTGAGGAATTAGGTGACCAAAATAATATTTTAAAGCAAAATAACGCTCTACTATGTGAAAAGATATTTAATCTTGCAAGCATACAAAGCGTAAGCGTAAACCTCGATATAAACAAACCAAATAAACAAACCAGTCAAACCACTCAAACCACAAGGTCATTAATAGATGTGGCAATCGAATTGAGCGAGAATTGACAACACCGGAAAAGGCCGAGACGATTCTAATAGTGTTAGTTTGAATATCTCAAAGATGAACTTATGGCACCCAGTCCTGTGGGATTCCATAATGCGAACCCTGGACTTGAGGGATCGAACTCACAGCAGGAATCCTTTCAACTGGTGAACGATAGAAGACGAAGAAGCCGTAAAAATCTCGGTACTGGAAAAACAGAACCAAACTTCGAAGGTGAAGATAGAAGACATTGGCTCTACATAAGCAGAGTCAAAAAAACTGTTTCTGGGGAAATAATAAAAAACTACGTTCAAGACAAAGATGGTTATCAAGGTATTCAAATCACAGTGTATGAGATTCCCACAGAAGAAGACCAACTGAAGGCATTTCTTGTCATTGCTCCCCTAGAAAAAAAAGACGAATTGTATGATAGTTCTTTCTGGCCAAGATACAACAAAGTGGGAATTTAATTTCAACAAGCACAGGGATTTCCTAGCCTAGAGGGAGGAGGTAATTTTTTATAGATATAAATGGTCCCAACGACACAATACAAAACGATGTAACTTGTAAGAAGGTGCAAACTCACTCTCTTAATCTCTACATATATGTCATAAAGTCTCTTGTTCCCTCATTTCCCGATGTGAGTGAACGGTTGCTAGATGAAAAATTACATATTTTTGCAGTACCAGAAAGATGGCTATCACCAGACTATCTAGATGGGTTGTTCAATGTTAAAGGTTACCAGCTTCATCGTGCTGATGGTCCATCCCGAGGAGGAGGAGTTTGTGCATTTATTTCAGCTTGTATGAAAAGCAGTATAGTCGATATTTCACCAATGTTGGATACATTAAACTTACTCGAGCAATTGTGGATTGACATTCAATACAAAAGTAAGTCAATATCACTTGGTGTGCTGTACAAGCAACCACTTGTTTAGAAAGCATATTATCATCTCTAGCAGTGTCATATTATTATGTAATTTTGATGGGCGACATGACCTATTAGTTAGAAATGTGGAAAAGCAAGTACGTAGAGTTGTTGCTACAAATGTTCAACCTAAAGCAAGTTGTTACAGATCCAACAAGAAAAGGCAGAATTAGTTGCAGCCTGATCGATGTAATTTGTGTAGACAACAGTCTAAATATTTTAACTTCCGTTACCATAGATATGCTTAACCGTACAGACCACAGACTGGTTTAGTCAAAACTGGAAATGGAAACACCAAAACCTGCGTCAAAATCAATCACATAAAGAAGTTTCAAACACTTTAACAAACAACAGTTTGAAAAGGATATGCAAGACTTTGACCACATCCTGCAGCAAGAAACCCTCGATACCAAGATATTCCATTTGAAATGTCACAAAAATATATTTTTATATATTTTGGACTCATTTAAAAGTACTATTTCGTATACCAGCGACATCTATGATTTTTCTGACTAGTTTTCCTAACCTAATATCGAGAATTCTGTTGTTTTCGAGCCACCTGTAGCGCTGTCATTTTTATGATTTTGATAAGCTTGACAGATTAAGAAAGAAAAGACAGAACCAATTTGGGTACTTTTGACTTGCCCTTTTCTCTTTGGTTTTGGAACCGAACAGGTCGTCCAGATTTTTAGAACTTTAAAAATCTTAAAACTTTATCTTTGTTTTTAGTCATCGAGTCCATATTCTCGAAAATTAACTAGCCAGAAGCGTGCTTGATCGTGTCTGCTAGAAAGTTTCCTGGAAAATCAACCGATTGTTGATTTTTGTGAAGATTTTTGAAAGTGAGGTTAACTATCGGCCGTTCAGGTATGAAAATGTCTTTTTCTCTTTGATGGATGAGTCCTTATATCCTCTCAATTTATTCAGGCACCTTGGGCAGGACGAAAAATCCGCGCCTGCACTTCTCCAAGTGACAATTGACGAATTTGAGACCACGCTGTCCTGGAAATTCAGAGCAAATCGGGGCCCCCTTTTTAAGGAAAATTTGTGTCCTGTAAGAAATTGATCCCCAGCCATTATTTGGTTGTCTCCAGGCAGTTTGGTACCTCCGGAACTCAAATTTGTGAAAACTTCCGAGGCTTTACAAGGATTCCACCCAGGCTTGTATAATTACTCACCTATGGGTGTCTTAAACGTGCCATCTCAACTACCGTAACTTATTTTTACCTTTTCTTTATCGCCCCCTATCGTTTAGCTTTATTAGCTAATTAATATCTTTGTAAATTCAATTACCGACCTAATTGTTCACCTAGATTAGCTAACTACTGTTTAAGTATAATTATTAATTTAATTAATTAATCATTATCATAGTCAGATATTTACCTTTATTATCGTTTTCTTTATCATTATCTATTATCTGATAATTATGGATTATTACAATTATTACAAATTTATTTCCTTAATATCGAGTACTGATCGATATCATATATTGTGGATTCATTAACCTTTAGAAGGTTAATTTAACTTTTAATTTCAAATCAATAATGTGGTAGTTTTACAAGGTAAACCAATGTAAAATCTTTAGGTAGTCAAATTTAAGTTTTATGTTTACCTATTTTGAACGTTAAAGGTAAGAAGGTAGAGCTCTCCCGGAAACCGTGACCCCTTGATTTCACCTAGCAGGTTTTTGATATTTATAACTGCCTAGGGATTATTTATTACCTTTCTGCGTTGATTAATTTGTTTTTTATTGATTTGATTGACTTTGAGTCAAAAATTAAAGGTTAATATTATTTTATTCTCTCGCGAATGGTAAACTATCATTTAATCAACTCTAAACTCGTTGTTAAAGTACCACTTTATTTGAAGTAGTGAAATCGAACAATTTTTACCCACTCATTTGTCAATTTTACCCACTCATACGTCAATTTTACCCACTCATATAACAATTTTACCCACTCGTTCAAATCTTTCATAATAATTTTAGTGTTTTTGACCAGAGAAACTGGTTCAAAACTGTTTTGAAACAGTACATTCTCGCGATAAACCCATGACGTCAAGTCAAAATTGGTTCAAACCGTTTCGAAATACAATCCAATCCACGTTTTCAAACCATTTTTTTGCGCCGAAAAATTATGACGTCATGGGACATTACTTAAACCAGTTTTGAAAATTATTTTGAAACATTTGAGACGCGAGAAAACGCCTCAAAAATCTGTTGTTTTGTGGTTATGTTGCATGATCGACAACACCAGAAATGTGTCAGTTTGTTAGGTACTTTGTCAACTTGTCATAATCTATGTAAAACTTTAGCACATTTTAGCTTATGATTTCAGTAATTGTGGTAAATAAGAAGTTGCTCAAGAATAAAATAGAATAGGTATTATACACGACGGTAAAAAAGCTTTACCTGTTCGTGGAATTAATCCACTCGCTCCTTCGTCGCTCGTGAATCAACATTTTCCACTCACAGGTAAAGCATCTTTTTACCGTCTTGTATAATAAATAACTATTAGGGACATAAAGCTTCCGTATTTTTTGCTCGGTATCCGTATCGGTATCGTACTGCGCATGTGCAGAAGCGATACGGAGGCCGAGATACCGTACCTACAACGTAACGTTACGGCCATCTCGCGGTATCCGTATCGGTAACGTATCTTGACATTCCTGACGCATGTGTCAAATTTTAAATGTATCACTTTTCTTCCGGGTTGATTTAATTTGTTTAGTTTACACTTTCTTGAGATTCTTGTGTGTTTAGTGCTTCTCTATCGCAAAAAATAATAACAATTTTAGGGATAGATATAAAAACGCCGGAGTTTTGAGACAAAAATTTCTAGGTTATGAGATGCGTTTACGTTTACCGGAACAGGGAGCGCTTTAACAGCCTTTTCGCTTGTCAACGTATCTAGTTGCGTTACGGATACCGATACCGATACCGGCGAATTACTTCAAGTAGCTTTATGTCCCTATTGACTTCAACATTCAACGAATTTCAATCTTTTTGTATACCTATTTAAATTAAGTTTTGCTTCCGTAAGCTGCTTAATTTTTTGTCATACCAGTACATTATTGTGTTTTTATACCTTAGATACCATCTACATAATTCATTACTTTATGCCCGTGCGGGCATAAAGTGCACATTATGGCCCGCGCGGGCATAAAGTAAACATTCTGGCCCGCGCGGCAATAAGACGCAAAAAACAGTTTTCGATTAACTTATTCTTTATTTACAAAAATATATATTTATTATTCAAAACCAACTGGTATGACATAAAAGTTTGTATGCACCACGGGTACTAATAGATATATACCCTCGGGCCAGAGGCCCTCGGCTTTGTAAGACTGTCGCCCTCAGGGCATAATCCTCTATTTAGTACCCTTGATACATAAATAACTATTTTTTTTTTTTTAAATTGGATACTGAACAATATTCTCCTTTAAACAATTTATTTGTTTCAATGTTAATGAACAACAAGTTCGCCATACAGTCAATAAATTATTGTTTTGGAATTCCAAAGCTTGTGTTTTTATTGAAGGAGTTAAATGTCAGATTGATATTGGATTTATTTTACCTTTCCAGATTTTTGAATTTATCTTTTTAAATAATAGCTAATTATTTGAATAGTGTCTGGTTTGGCTATTCATTGATAATCAAAATAATTTTATACAAACTAGTGGCGCCCTCTCTTTACTGTACCAACACCAAGGACCACCCCAAGCTAAAGAACCACCGAGCATAGTCGAGCACAATTATGAGCATTCTTTTGTTTCGACAAAAGAGCGTTACAAACAGTCAACTGGAATATTTGCCAAGATGCTCCTGTGAAGACAGTGCAAATTAAGCGTAAATATAGGCCTTATATTACTGACACAATCAACGAAATTATTAAATAAAAGAAAAAGGCATTCAATAAATTCAAACATACTGGACTTATTGCACATAAAAACTTCTATTTGGATTTGGAGAACTACCTTTCATTTGCAATTCGGAGTGAGAAACAAGCCTTTATGTCATTTGAACTAGAAAAATCACAAAAAAGCCCAAAAAAGGTGTGGTCGAAAATCAATAGTTGCAACATTCACTCTAAAGTTAATAATGACATACCCAGTCACCTAAAAGATGTAAACAAGATCAATGATGCTTTCGCTAGTATTGGTCAACTAGCTGCTCTGGTGGATAATTTCACGCTTGGGTATTATCTAAGTAACAAGCTGGCATCTATTCATAATAGTGACGAGTTCAGGTTCAGGGGCATTACTGATGGGGATGTGTATCAAACTTTTTCTCGAATCAAATCAAATACCATGGGCATCGATCAGCTAAGCTATAACATCATGCTCTTTGGTATAGACTTTATTGCACCACCGATCTCTAAAATATTCAATGTCTGCTTAGAAACTTGTGAAGTACCCAGTCTCTTGAAATGTGCTGTGTTGTCAAACCCTTACCGAAAAATTCTAAGGTGAAGGATTTCTCAGAGCTAAGGCCAATTTTTCTTCTTCCAACCCTTGCCAAAATGCTAGAGTCAGTGGTATCAGACATGATCCTGGAATACATAGCATACAAGAATATTCTGCCAGCGAATCAATCTGGATTTCGTAAAAATCATAGCACAGCAGCAGTACTTACGAAAGTACAAGGCCGAAACCCACTAGCAACACGCCACGCCACCCCACGCCATGTGACACAGGTTCACGTGGGACAGTTTGTGTGCAAATAGACGGATGGCGTGGCATGCCATGGCGTGGTATCGCGTATGGCAAGTGTGTACGCAGCACATATAAATAAATGGAAGAATATACGCATACATTTTCGTCACATGGCGTGGCGTGGCGAAGCATGACGTGGCGTGTTGCTAGTGGGTTTCGGCCTTAACGACTGATATTTCAACAAATATGGATTGTTCAATGGTCTCTTGCTTAGTACTCCTGGATTACAGCAAAGCGTTCGATTTAATTAATTAAATGCTTATTGCAGAAATGGGCTAATATGGTTTCTCTGATCGGGTATGCCAGTGGTTTTCGGGCTATCTTGGATCAAGAACACAAATGATCAAATTGGACGGAGCTAGGTCAAAGTCGGTAACAATGAGATGTGGAGTTCCCCAAGGAAGCATTTTGGGCCCCTAATATTCAGCCTGTAAACTAGTGACCTCCCAAATCAAGTACAATTTTGTGTTATGCATCTTTATGCGAATGATATACAACTCCTGGTAGGTTTTGTCCTGGAAGATGCTTGTGTTGCTCTGAATAGGGTTAATGTTGACCTAAGTTCAGTTTATAAAATATGGTCTAAAAACCACGGTCTAGTGCTTTATGCGAATAAAAGTAATATCTCATTATAGGGTCAGATATCACTAGAAGTCGTTTCGTCGTTTCTACAGTCATAACTTCCTTACATTACATGTTAATAGCTCCTTGTTGCCTTGTGTTGAATCTGTCGGAAATTTAAGTGTTATGTTGGATAAGCAACTTTTTTTGCAGGCGCATGTAGGAACGAAATAAAAATATCCGCTATTTAAATTAAATTGAACAGCTTGTATGCCTTCAAGTATCTGGTACCTGCCAAAATTAAGTTAATGTTAATAGAGACCCTAATCTATCCTCAATTAGATTATTGTTGTGTATTACAATTACTTGACCCTAGAATTTAATAAAAAAATTCAACTAGCCCAAAATGCATAAGCACGATTCATTTATTGTATTAAAAAATTCGATCATATTACACCTACATACATATGTATACATACCAGGCCATATTGAAATAAAAATTATCTATAGAGCACCATACGAATGTTCAGATGCTACAAAATAAATGTGTTCAATATAAATAAGTTCAAGAAAATATATGAGAATATGAAATAAAATAAACATAGAAGGTAAATTTAACTGGTGGAGAAAAATAGGAAGGCGCCCACAATAAACCGAGTTAAGAATAGATAAGTTGGAAACTAATCCAAAAAATTAATTCAATGGGGTAAGTTCAAACAACCAATTCAATTGAAATTTGCATAAAAATGTCCGTTTTAATTTCCCTCTAGACCCAAACCTGTTCTAAGAATATAAGCAATATTTGAATTTTAATTTTTACTTCTACAACAACAAAAAAATTAACAGTCAAAATAAAATCGGCACTTTTTCTGTAAAGTCAATAAACCCAATTACATCCCTAGCCTGTGTATCGTCAACAAAAAATGCTAACAAGAAAAACGTACCCAAACTCCGAAGGAATTGTTGAACTTGGGGACTTCAAGCTAAACCTGGTATAATAAATTCAAATGATGATATTCTTCTATTCTAGTATTTAAAGTAAAAATAGGAGAAATTAAATCTTTGCTAGCTAACTTATAGGAGTTTGCAAAATTACAATTTAAATATAGGTAGGTACTTGATGAATAAGGCAATAATAGATTGAGAGATAGGGACTGTTTAGTGGAGTCTTTTTTTTTTGTTTGGCATTTTGAGGGCTGAATGTAGCTAGTTAGCTGATGAGAATACAGGTGATTTTAATACCTGCTACCTGTTCGAAAATTTGGAGAAGAAAAAAATTGATTAACATGAAGAATTTTTTTTTAATGATCTCAAATTTTTTGGCTTTTAAATAGAAGATTGACGTTGATAAATAAACCACACATAAAAAATACCAGCTCTTTATGAGATATTCAAGCTGTTCATTTTGATAAATAAATAATAGAAATTGGTGATTCTATGGAATATTTATGTTGCATTGAGGTAATTTCACGAAACTAACTTTTTAAGACAAATGCAAGCTGAAAATAAAAAAAATCATTGAGTTTACAAACCCATCAATTCTTATTTTAGCTTTACCTTTCCTTTATTTGAACTTTAAATTGCTGTAGCTTTTAAAAGCATCTAGACTATCATTAAAACTTGTAAAACAAATTTAAAACTTTTAGCCAAAGCCTCATCGCAGACTTACGTTACAAAGGAAGTTTTTTCTTACCTATCTCTTGCAGCTATACAAGTTATTTTGGCCAAACTTTTGGTATCTTGACTAGCCATTTCGTTACAAAGCTGCAGTAAGTCTTCCGGGACGCACATTTTATCTAAATTATAAAAAAAATAGATGCTTTCTCATTAAATTTAAAAAAAAAAAAACTTACAATCCTGTCTAGCATTTCGTCTTATTCGCGCAGCAAGGTTACCATCAGCAAAAGTTGCAGTAACAACAAGAAACGCCAAGAAATAAACCGGCTTCTTCATTTTCGAAGCAGTACTGGTGGTTCTCGTCGAGGAACGCATATTTATAAACATTTTAAGATTGCTAAAAACCCGCGTTGTCTTCTTTTAATACATGTTTTTGTTTGATATGCATAAAACGTCCGGTGGGTGCAATTAAAGTGTGGTAAACAAAACAAATATACATATCGTTTTGCTAGTTGAGCAAAAGCTTTGTTCGCCAAATCAAGCTATTTTTAGTATTATCGAGAATCGTGATTTTTTAATTTCCACCCATAAGTTAATAATATGAATTAAAAGCACGGTGAAAACAACAAAATAATTTTCGGAAATTTCCCCAAATAGCGTCAAACTCCTCCAAAAATACCTAAGTAATGTATTGTCCGTCATTTTTAATCTGAGAGTTTCCATATGAGGAGCGAGGGGGTGAAGATGGCAAAAACAGGTGTGACGGCAGGTGACCATTATATTAAATTATGTATACATATATATGTATGTGGTCACTCAGCTATTAGTTCCACCACTCTTTGTGGCCTTCCCGCAGACATTGTCCGTGATGCCCTCAGAGCACAGAATAATTCGAGAGTGTTGATAATGATTTGTATGCCATCCATGTGACTGACCTGTTTGCCACTAGTGACTAGGCATCCTTTCCACGTACTCTAAGTTCACCCAAAGTTGATTAAAGATTTTTTTCCGCTCCTCTCCTCGAGAGTTTCTAAAGATTTTTTTGGGTGACTTGCTTAAATTTAGCTTGAAAGTGAGCCTGCGATGAAAGACATTGTCAAAGTGTCCCAATGCCAGTCAGTGATTGTGGATTCCTTATTCCACATTATTTTCGTTATTTATATTGGAATTTATTCAGGTATTATTATAGCTCTTCTGCTATGTGTATTGGTTGGTTATGAAGTTGATGTGAAGCGCCAAACATTAAATTCGGCCTGAATGTATTTCTGGTGATTCGACTCGTTGGTATTGTCTTCGGTAATGGTTAATTTGGCTCGGACCATTTTGGTTTTAGTATCCACCAAAGACTTTTTACTTGGTAAAGCATTTTTGGGACCTTAAAAATAGTTCGGACTGAGGCTTATTGGTATTGCTTGAGATGAAAATGACGGACGAAGTTGGTTATGAGTTGCAAAGTTATTGAAATGTGGTCTAAAATTAAAATGAGATGCTTGACATTGCACATTAGAATAATTGTTGTTTGTGAAACGACTTGACTGTTTTGATGTTTTATGTCGGTTGTGGATTATTAGGTGACTGATTTATGCTCGTTGTCTTCTTGAATTACTAATTGAATAGACAGACTCATATAATATTTGTGCATGCATACAGCGACTAGTTGTGGCCTCTTATACCTCATTAATAGGTTTCAAGAGTGCAATTTTTTGGTAAAAATTTCCTTTTACTCCAGCAGCAGCTGATTGTTCATGAGTATTGACATGTCTAACTACACAAAATGTTTGTGTGAGATTTATTTTTAGCATGATGCATAACCAAATTTCGGTTTCAAGAACTTTCATCACCCCTATCAGCAAAATTACGAGCTAGGTATGATATCTTTTAGTTCTGGCAACTGACAACCTTTAGTATATTTTTTACTGATCTCTTTACCCCGAAGGTTACTAATCAAAGAATTTCTGAGATAAATAATTCGAGAATTATCTGAGGGAGTCCCATCTTAAAAGTTATTAATTAAAGTTTGACGTGGCCAAATATCTATGATCAGCAGTATTTCCATCGAAAATTGAAACGAAATTTAAATATCCTGGCTTAAAAGTATCAGCCATAGAGTTTAGGTTACTATTATTATTATTGTCTTTTATCTCACAGCTTTTCTTCAGCTATGGTAGTATTTTTGAAAAATCACCAGGAGCACACCGTGCACCTAAGGTGTTCGATTTAGTCTAATGGTTTGTTTCTCCTTGCTAAATTACGTTTCGCACAATATGAGCTGTGCTCAGCACTACTGCCTTTTGCATGCTTAGTATATTATGATGACCAGGAACTTCTTTAATGATTTCGCATTTATAGTTGGATACCAGTCCTGTGGTCCCAATCACTATGGGTATAACCTTTGCTCTCAAGTTCTACATTCGTTGTATCTCAATTTGCAGGTCTTTGTATTTTATGCGTTTCTCAGCTTCTTTTTGAGTGATGTTGTAGTCCGATGGTATGGCAACATCGATAAGGAAGCAAGTTTTCTGTTTTTTATCTTAGTCTAGTCTAGTCTTAGTCTATAATGTCTGGTTTGTTAGCATCGATTCTCCTGTCTGTCTGTACTTGAGTATCCCAGATTATGGTTATTTCAGGTGTTTCTATAACAGGATCTAAAATGTGTTTATACCTCAGATTAACACATGAAATAGATATGTTTATTGTGATTAAAAAATGCCCCAAACATTGACTCCGATTCTAAGATCACTTGCGGATACTTACTGCAGATGTGCCATATTTATAAATTGTCCGAAGTTGCAGGGAAAGTGGAATTGGAAATTGAAAAAAATATATCGAAAATATAAAAACCTAGATAGGTATATGTATATACAATTATAACATAAAATATCGCGGTGCTTTCCAAAATTAAATAAGAATAATTATTATATAAAATAATAATCTATTATCACAATAAAATTTGAATAAGCATTTTTGCTAGCTGAAAATGGCAACACTGCCTAAAATCTCGGAGCTTGGTTGTATTCGTCTAGGAACGCCCACCTGAATCATTTTATCTTTGTTAAGATAACCAGATAAAGAAAGATGCAAATGTTTCCAGAGCAAGCCCGACCATAATCACGAATGCGCTCTAGTATTCATAGTAAGAAATGTCAAACGGGTTTTGTTTGTAATTGACCTTTTGTTTGGACGCCATATTGTGGTGCGCGAACATAGTTGCCAACAGTAGAAAAAAAAATTACTAGCGTTCTGTCAACTTTAAAATCCAAAGTTAGTGAATAAATTACATTTAAATTAAATTTGCCGCCTATTACGAATGTTTTTGGGAAGAAAAGCCATCAATTTTAGCTTGTATTGGGCAATTTTTGGTTTTCTTGTTTTGACAACTATGTTCGCGCACCGCAATATGGCGTCGAAACAAAAGGTCAATTGGCTTGCATAGTCCCACAGCCCCCTACACTTACAAGCCATGAAGTTGGAAATGACGGCAACGTCGCGTAGGGTGCTATTTTGTTATCGAGGTTATTGTTTCTGTGTATTGCGTTCATTGTATATTGTTGCAGTTTAGTATTTTTGTGGGCATTATTGACGAAAAAGTGGATAGAAACACACCGATATATTGCCCATATTTAGTTGATACCTGTTCCTTTGTGCTTTGATTGCAAATTTTCAGCAAATGGGTACAGCAGCAAAAATGAAGGTAATGTAAGGTTAAAACAATAAAAACAATATTAATATTGTGCAAGAGCATAGGTCTCGATATATTACCTAAGATATTTAAACTTTTTTCCAGATGCCATGAAACTACTGTGTTCCTGATGGGTGCAAATCGAACTAGGAGTTCCTTAAAACCTGAAGAAATACAAACATTTATTTCCAAAAAAATTCTGAAATGTAGAAGTTGTGAATGAAAGCAATACACCAAGATAATTATACCCGAGATTGGCGAGATTATACCATAACGAAAAATTCTGTGGTGTGTTGTGAACATTTTGAAGAAACCGAAATAATTAGATTTGAAACAAACAAGAATAAAGGAGTAATTCGAGAGTTCAAACTAAAAGTCCAACTCTTAAAAGTACCTCTTATTTTCGGAAATCAGCTCAAGTATTTGAATAAACCTGCCTTCTGAAAAAATCCCGAAGAAAGAAAAAGTTAGATTTTCAAAAGACATACTGAAACATAGGCTTATAACTCTTTAGAATCTAGAAATATATTCATTTAAATCAATTATTTACTGTTCTTATTTACACTTATAGTTATATTATTCCTTGAATTACTGTTTTTGACCCTTTAGTACAATAAATGATGCATTTTTTGTCATTAATATTAACAAAATAAAAAATATATACTTATAAAAACAAACAGCACCAGCACCACTTGGCGGTAAGATTGCGGTGTTGCCTTTTTAACTTCATGGCTTGTTAAGTGTAGGAGGCTGTGATAGTCCGCAATCATATCCCCACTTCATATAGTTCATTCATTAATCCACTATTGACGTTTAGGATTGTTGGCCGCAGAAACCAAACGATTTTATGAATGACTTGCCCTCTCTATTTATGTAGTGATACTCTGAGGTTTATACCATCGGTCTTGTGTTGGTATTCCGTAAGCTTTGCATATATTCCAGTGCAGTTGTTTTGCCACAGTGTTATGACGGTCCAAATAGGCTCGCTTAGCCAGGATCGGGCAGCCAGACACGACGTGATAAATGGTTTCATCAAATGACCGGCACAGTCTACATTTTGAGTCAGTACCGGTTTCCAGTATTTTCGCCTTTATAGAATAGGGAACAATCATATTTTTCAAATTATTTTTTTCTTATTGCTTATGTTTTCAAATATAAAATGTAAAGGTTTTTTTTTGTATCATGTCCTCATTAAAATTTAAAAAATATTTTAAATTTCAAATTATTTTTGTTGGCACGAAAACGATTACCTTTAAAATAGCGATACTTGTGACGTCAACTGTATCAGTCGTGGCGTGACGTGAGCTGATCGTGGACTAATCGTTCCACGACTCAAGAATGAACTACGAAAGCGTGGACCGTGGATTCACCATAAAGGCGGGTTGACACGGGTAGTGAAGCACGCTCGTGGGTCACGCTAAGAAATGATTCGTGAAATATGCTTGCTCGCAATCGTTTCGTGAAGGCATCCTGTGGTGTTTACACTGGGCACGGAGTTTCTTGGTCAGTCATGCAAATGGCTTCGTTTTTGCTGAAGAAGTGCCAGTCTTCAATATGGCTTCATCGATAGCAGAAGGTTGTGCAGTGGTGTGTGAAATATTAGGACATTATCTCGTATCACAACTTACCAGTCATACTAGAGTGATTAAAAAGAAGGAGACAGAGCGGTCGGTGAGAGAATGGATTCATGACAAAGACCGGTTTGGAGCAGCGTATTTCATTCATCAGGAGTTGCAGTACAGATACTCAGAGAAAGAAAGAATTTCAACGTTTCTGCGTCGCTCATTCGTAGATA